GTTAGGGAGTTCAGAAACATACAAGAACATAAATGCCTATGTTTGAATATATAAAATATATTGACTATAGAAATATATATATATTTCTAGATATTTCTATATATATTTCTCTATATATTTGTATATATTTATATATATATTTCTAGAAATATATATTTCTAGGCAATCATAGAATCAGAGAATGGTTGGGTTGAAGGGACCTTAAAGCTCATCCAGTTCCAAGCCCTGTCCAACCTGGCCTTGAACACTGCCAGGGATGGGGCAGCAACAGCTTCTCTGGGCACCCTGTGCCAGCGCCTCAGCACCCTCCCAGGGTGAATTAGAGTTAATGTGTAGGGTTTCCTGTAGAAATACACTTTAATTTGCTTGTGTATCCAGTGCTGTTAAGTATCAGTTCTTCCCAGTCCTGATTTCATCCAGTATTTTCTAAAGCTTGGACTCAGGTGAGGAAGGATTTTTGCACCTTTACCTCGACAGTTCCATTGTAAAGACATTATTTGTTATAAATCATTGACTTTTATCTACCCTTGGACGTTGTAATTGTGTGGTGCTTTGTATTGTCTTGGTACTGATGTCAGATCTGGGTTTTAATAAAGAAGAAAACCTTGATTTCCTTTTGAGGTTGAAAAATAGATGGGATTTCAGTGTGATTGTAACCCAGTGAGTGATTTACTAATCTTTGGAGATTCAGAGAGAGAACAAAAGCCATTGTAGAGGAATAATATGGGCTGGGCTTCTTGAAATCCTTCTTTTTCCAGTTCCCCCTTCAAGCTGTTTGATCAAAAAACCTGAAAAGACTTTGTATTTGCAACATGAATGGTGATGTTCAGAGGTTTGGGTCAGGGTGTTTGTAAGTGAATGAGATTCAGGTGATGAGATCCCAGAGGAAATGTCTTTATATCACATAGTTCAGCGAGTCAGATCTTGTGTTTTAATACTAACATATGCGGCTTCATACAATAATCGCCATTTCTAGAAGGAATAACCACATTATCACTGAAAGCAATGTGTAAGCAGGTAGCTCTGTGCCCTGTAACTGGTGGGATGTTACGTTTGCTGTGCAGTGAATGCTCTCTGTGTGTTGGAGCTGCACATGCAGCCCTGGCTTCTCCTGGCTCCCAACCACACCTGCATTGTGTGGCCTTTACTGAGTTCAAATCTGGCAGCTCTTAACAGTAATTAAGAACTTCATCATATTGAAACCGCTTTTAATTAATGAAGGGAGAAAGGCTGTGACACACTTTCCACATGCTGACAGATGGGGGGGGTTCCTGGTGCTTTGACATGCTTTTCTTTGATGGTTTTTCTTATGTATCTAAAGGGGCTGCAGGAAAGCTGGAGAGGGGCTTTGGACAAGGGCCTGTAGGGCCAGGCCAAGGGGAATGGCTTTAACCTGCCAGAGGGGAGACTGAGCTGAGCTCTTAGGCAGAAGCTCTTCCCTGTGAGGGTGCTGAGGCGCTGGCACAGGGTGCCCAGAGAAGCTGTGGCTGCCCCATCCCTGGCAGTGTTCAAGGCCAGGTTGGACACAGGGGCTTGGAGCAAGCTGCTCTAGTGGAAGGGGTCCCTGCCCATGGCAAGGGGTTGGGGCTGGAGGAGCTTCAAGGTCCCTTCCAACCCAAACCAGGCTGGGATTCTCTGAATCACACCACACAAGTACCAACTTCTCTCCACTGTAAAGAACCGAGAGTGACAAACTCCAGCGTATGCATCAGGGCTGTAGAAGGCTCAAGTTAAATGCTGTGAACCCTCCTGCTGGTTTAACATAAAATGAACATATGGGCTTTATAGGAAGGTGGGGGCGAGCTCTGGAATACGGGTTTATAGCACACTGGAAGGCAAAAATCACAGCTGCTTTGCAAAACAGCGTTTAGAATTGCTTTGCCAAGCTTCAGCTATTTATTTACATGTATTAGCACAACTCGAGCCTGGTGTTTGGGCTGAAAAGCTTCAGAAGCAGATATGCCCTGTCATAAAATCTTCAAATTGTGGTTTTTGGGGAAGCACAACCAATCTTGGCATTTTTACCATAAAATCATAGAATCCCAGCCTGGTTTGGGTTGGAAGGGACCTTAAAGCTCATCCGTTTCCAGCCCCTGTCATGGACACAGACACCTTCCACTAGAGCAGCTTGCTCCGTGCCCCTGTGTATAAGACAGCCGTGCTGTTGGGACAGTGTGTGTTTGATGTGATATCAAATGTTCTTGAGATGGGATGGTAACTTGGGCACTCCTATAACAGTGATGCTGTGGGCTCATCCCTCCAGCTTTGTAAAAGCTCATGAAGTGTTAACAATACTTGGGCTAACCTTGGAGTGTGCCTTATGGATTAGCAGGATGAATTCAGGTAGAGGTGTCTTATACCAAGACAGGGAAGAGCTGAACATCTGCCCCATCGCTGGCAGTGTTCAAGGCCAGGTTGGACACAGGGGCTTGGAGCAAGCTGCTCTAGTGGAAGGGGTCCCTGCTCGTGGCAGGGGTTGGAGCTGGAGGAGCTTTAAGATCCCTTCAACCCAAACCAGTCTGGGATTCCATGAACCTGCATATATGTCGCAGTAGGTTTTTCATGGAATTTCTTGGCATTTTTATCAATAGAACATCCCAGTCATAAGCTCATATTTCATTATTCTTTTTAAATATGTGATGCTGAAAAGAGCATTTGATGAAGCTGCCATCACTTAAAACACCCTGGAGAAGTAAACCTATAGCTCTTTCCCAGCCATACGCTGCTTCTCCCTTCCCTTCATGGAGCCTTTCCATGGCTGGGGCCTCATGGATCCGCCCTGGCTGCTGACCCTTCAAGCTGGGCTTGGATACGGGTTGCTGATGGCTTAGGGCTGAGTGAGCTGCTGACACTGGGGGACTTGGAGGAAATTCCCATGTTTGCTGCTGGTTTGGCACTGTGGCCTGGCTGGCTCTTTCCTGACCTCTGGAATTTTGTGTACCGGCATGTTACAGGCAGGTTTAATGTCTAAGACTTGAAGGGGAAAAAAACCAGCCTTTGCTAGGTAGGACTTTATACTCGGGAGGTGGAGGATGGGGAAAATTCTATAGCATGAAGTGGATTTTGGATATAAAACTTCTTTGGATGCGAGAATTCCAGTCAATCAATTCTATTATTTTCCTCCAAGCATCCTTTAGTGAGGATGTCTGTGTGTCAGTTAATGTAATCAGGTGGTTGCTGTGGCTCTGTGCTGATGGGGGGAACTTCTGTTGCAGAAGGACAACCTCTTTTGTTCCTCGTTAGTTCATAATGGTTAGTTAGTTGTCTTCAGGGCCTGTAGTGATAGGACGAGGGGTGATGGCAGTGTTCAAGGCCAGGTTGGACACGGGCTTGGAGCAAGCTGCTCTAGTGGAAGGTGTCCCTGCCCGTGGCAGGGGTTGGAGCTGGAGGAGCTTTAAGGTCCCTTCCAACCCAAACCAGGCTGGGATTCTCTGATTTGTGTCTGATTCACATGTGTCTATTAGCCTGGTTTTTAACATTGGGCTTGACTTTGCTGTAGGCTTCCACAATTTCACCCTTTTTCTCTCCCTGAGTTTTCAAGATGATTTAAATAGGCAAATGCAGTGTTATATAGAAATGCATTCTTGACTCTGTTGAAATCTGATGTACACTCTTTCACTGAGTATACCACTCCAATGGATATCTGTGAAATCTGGTATCATTAAATATATAGAGACAGTGTAGATAACTATATCCAGAGTTGAGCATTTAAATGGAATTATCATTTCACTTACAGTTTTGCAGGTTTAAGGCAGAACTTGCATTAAACCAATGTGTAACCCAGGCCCTGCGATGTGATTTTCCAGCTCTGGTTTGGAACAGGGCTTTTGAGCTTGAACTTTGCTATAACTGTTCAATTTATGATAACTTTTTGTGATGTATTGGGGATTTCTGTGTACAGAAGAGTTCTGTTGTGCTGATGTGAAATGGCAGCTGTTATCAGTGGGTTTTAACAGCAAATAACTGTATTTGAATGATAAAGATGTTGGGCATCTTGGAGATGTCATTTGGAGCGAGGAAGTGCTTTGAGGAGAAGCCTCATACGTATCCTTATAGTTACTACGTGCCTTCCTTGACATAAATCACATCTCCTCTTCTCCAGACCTGACTTCACTGTTCTGCTATGGCTATATTACACAACTGGAGGGAAATCATTTCATAGGAGGTGATACTACAATGCTCTGTGGTGCCATCTAATGGAACTGAAGCACTGTCATTCCTGCTTGTCAAAAATGAATGCCGTCCGCCAGACACTATCCAAGGCTAATAAGTATAGGTGCATGGGTGTCCTGGGTTAGGGTTAAGGGTTAACCTAGGGGTTAGGGGTTAGGGTTAGGGTTAGGTTTAAGGGTTAGGGTTAGGGTTAAGGGTTAGGGTTAGAGGTTATGGTTAGGGGGTAGCGTAAGGTTTAGGGTTAGGGTTACGGTTAGGTTTACAGGTTAGGGTTAGGGTTAGCGTTAGGGTTAGGGTTAGGAGTTAGGGTTAGGGTTAAGTGTTAGGGTTAGGGGTTATGGTTAGGGGGTAGCGTAAGGTTTAGGATTAGTATTATGGTTAGGGTTAAGTGTTAGGTTTAATTTTACAAGTTAGGGTTAGGGTTAGCGTTAGTGTTAGGAGTTAGGGGTAGTGTTAGGGTTAGGCTTTAGGGTTAAATATTTGGGTTAGGTTTATGGTTAGGGTTTTGGGTAAGGTTTAGGGTTAGTGTTATGGTTCTGGTGGTGTGTTAGGTTTAGGGTTACAGGTTATTGTTAGCGTGAGGATTAGGGTTAGTGTTAGAGCTAGTGTTAGGGTTAGGGTTAGTGGTGACGGTTAGGGTTAGGTTTAAGGGTTAGGGGGAGGGAAAGAAGTGCGGGGAGTGAGGAACGAATTCCCTGACTGGGTTTAAACCAGAAAATGGGTTTGAAATAAATTGTATGGTCATCTTAAATCTCAAAATATGAATCCTAATAAATCACATATAAAAGTATTCTTTTTAATTCTCTTAAATTCTTCCCCTCCTGCAGGCTCTTGATGGGAATGTATATGATCACCTTAAGGATTATTTAATGGCATTCAGCAGGACTGAACTAGAGACATGCCAAGCTGTACAAAACACATTCCAATTTCTACTGGAGACTTCCAGCAGGGTAAGTTGGAACTGCATGATCCTTCGTAACTGAATACTTGGAGCATATATGTCATTGCCAGGCTTAGGATTTTCTTCCAGAATAAGGACAAGCCTGAAGGCTCATTAGTTTTGGTTGCTTGTGAGTGGTATTCAGTTAAAAGAAACGAGCTGGTTTTCCTGGTGGGAATTTTTCCTATTGCCACCCAGGTTATATTCTCCGGAGTGCATTTACACAGTTCCCATTCTTTATAGAACAGCTCTCAAGAGATGTTCAGTTATACTCACTACGCAGCTTTGGAAAGAGAAATGGCAGCTGAGAGTTGTGCACTGTAGGATGTGGACCCATGTTAGTCATCCCTCCCATCAAATCCCGGTGAAACAGTTTGGATCATCTCTTAATCATTGGCTGTCAACTTCAATACCACAATATTAGGGGATTTATTCTCCTTTGAATTAGTCATGACAGAGAAAACAGATCAGAGCCTTGTCGTGAGCATGGTTTGTTTGCTTTGTCAAGCAACCAGAATCAGAAATACATGATCACTTCCAGGATGGTTTTGATACTTGGATAATTCATCTGCAAGGCTGAAAAACCCCCAAATACATGTAATAGCCATTGGGCTCCCACTGTGGTGCAGTCATAATATTCCTTTCTGTGTTTACCAGAACCACCCACACAGAAACAGGGCTCATTTGTGCAGGGAAGCCAGGCTGAGAACGTTGGGGCTGTTGAGCCTGGAGAAGAGAAGCTGCGTGGAGACCTCAGAGCAGCTTCCAGTGTGTGAAGGGGGCTGCAAGGATGCTGGAGAGGGACTCTTCATCAGGGACTGCAGTGATAGGACAAGGGGTGATGGGTTCAAACTGAAACAGGGCAAGTTTAGATTGGATCTAAGGCAGAAGTTCTTTACTGAGAGGGTGCTGAGGCACTGGCACTGGGTGCCAAGGGAAGTTGTGAATGCTCCATCCCTGGTAGTGTTCAAGGCCAGGTTGGACAGAGCCTTGGGTGCCATGGTTTAGTGTGAGGTGTCCCTGCCCATGGCAGGGGGTTGGAACTGGATGATCTCAAGGCCCTTTCCAATCCAAACCATTCTGTGATTTTCATATGCTGAGTGTCAGAGAAGCTCTTCCCTGTGTGGGTGCTGAGGCGCTGGCACAGGGTGCCCAGAGAAGCTGTGGCTGCCCCATCCCTGGCAGTGCTCAAGGCCAGGTTGGACACAGGGGCTTGGAGCAAGCTGCTCTAGTGGAAGGGGTCCCTGCCTGTGGCAGGGGTTGGAGCTGGATGAGTTTTAAGCTCCCTTCACCACAAACCACCCCGTGGTTGTATGACTGGAGATGACATGGATGATCATCACGCCCTGGTCAGTGCTGAGAGTCATCTGAAGCTGCAGATGGTTCCTCCTTTAGCACGTTCTGAATTTCTCTCTATGGGAATTCCCAGTGTAGACGCCCTGTGGACCTTCCCTGTGTGTTTTCCATACATTTGAATGTGTTTGTGTCCAACTGCTCAAATGGGTGCAGTAATTATGTACTTCACTGTTTCACATGAGAGCATTATTGACCCTGGAGGACCATGTACTTTCTTTAACTGAAGATCATTTCTTACAGTTCAGTTTTCCAGCAGCACAAGCATCAGCATTGTGCTGCGTTGGAGAACAAGTTGTATTTACCACTGCACATAGAGTATAATCAGAATCCGTGCTCGTACACAACGCTGCTATTTTGGGATAAACACCATCCTTATTATATACTTCTGTACATTTAAACCCTCACTTTGCTAATAGCTATTTATAATTTCATGCTGTTATTTCTGTATTTCCAGCAACTGAAGCAGGAAATACTCTGTAGAGTTCTTCAAGCAGCACTGCTCTATTTTCACGCTGCCATCACTGAGGTTTTCTTTGTAAACATGTGTAAATTGTGACATAAGAGAGTGTTTGGGGATACATGTCACTCTGTCTGGAATGGATCATTAAAGAAATTTGGGAGCTGAAGGAGTTTTGGGTCGGCAAAACGCAGCTTTGAGAGTTTCCTCTGAAAGCAATTGCCTAAGAGATGAATTTGATAACTGATTTTGTATGCCTTACTGCAAAGAGGCTTTTCAGCTCTGGCAACTAATAATTTGTGTGAAAATCAGACATTTCAGCTGTATAAGAGAGCTGTGCACACAAAATTATCCACAAGAGGAGGGAAAAATATTTACAGCAGTGACACCACATAGTCTTTACTCCAGAGTTGCGGCTTTCCCCCAGTTTGACTTTGTATTTTTCATGGGTTAATGGCCGATACAGAATCATAGAATCATAGAATGGTTTGGGTTGGAAAGGACCTTAAGATCATCCAGTTCCAACCCCCCTGCCATGGGCAGGGACACCTCACACTAAACCATGGCACCCAAGGCTCTGTCCAACCTGGCCTTGAACACTGCCAGGGATGGAGCATTCACAACCTCCCTGGGCAACCCATTCCAGTGCCTCAGCACCCTCACAGTAAAGAACTTCTTCCTTAGATTCAATCTAAACTTCCCCAGTTTCAGCTGAACCCATCACCCCTTGTCCTATCACTTCAGTCCCTGATGAAGAGTCCCTCTCCAGCATCCTTGCAGCCCCTTTCACACACTGGAAGCTGCTCTGAGGTCTCCACGCAGTTTCTCTTCTCCAGGCTCAACAGCCCCGGTGTTCTCAGCCTGGCTCCATACAGGGGCTGCTCCAGCCCCTCCTCATCCTTGTGGCCTCCTCTGGACTTGTTCCAACAGTTCTATGTCCTTTTTATTTTGAGGACACCAGAATCATGGAATGGTTTGGGTTGAAGGGACCTTAAAGCTCATCCAGTTCCAACCCCTGCCACAGGCAGGGACCCCTTCCACTGGAGCAGCTTGCTCCAAGCCCCTGTGTCCAACCTGGCCTTGAGCACTGCCAGGGATGGGGCAGCCACAGCTTCTCTGGGCACCCTGTGCCAGCGCCTCAGCACCCTCCCAGGGAAGAGCTTCTGCCTAAGAGCTCAGCTCAGTCTCCCCTTGGGCAGGTTCAAGCCATTCCCCTTGGCCTGGCCCTACAGGCCCTTGTCCCAAGCCCCTCTGCAGCTTTCCTGCAGCTCCTTCAGGCACTGGAGCTGCTCTCAGGTCCCGCTGGAATCTTTTAGTGCATTCAGGGTTTTGCAGATTTGAGCTCTATGGGAAACACTTCCTCATTTCACTGTACAGCATGTTTTTAAATTTACAGAATGAATCTAAATGTCACTTTTTGTTTGCAGGTGGTGAGGGATTACAATCTCCAGCTCTTCCTCCAGGAGAACTCAGTGTTTCACAAACCGCAGCCTTTCCAGTTCCAACCAAGCGACAGCGACACTGTAAGAACCCTCCTGGATTCCTTCAGTTCTTTGTTCTTGCTCTGTTTTGATGAATGCTGTTATAAATGAGTACAGGAATAACGCTCACTGGTGTTCCCCTCTCGTTTAACCTCATCTGTATTTATGGGAAAGAAAAGGAAGGTGACCTTGAGTCCAGCGGCTCTGCTGGCAGTAGGTGGGTCATTGTAACAGAAGCATCAAGCAGGCTCCCTGTCATCCACAGAAGAGCAGGATCTTTTTGTGCTTCCAGATTGTGCCTGCCAGTCCTGTGTTCCTCTGCTTTCAGTGTAATTCCTACTACATTTTGTTACCTTATTATCATGTTGGTGAGGTTCTCCTAGTGCTCACTAATGCTGTTTTACATCATGTGTGATGCTGTGCCAACTAAGTGTCCATATACCTCTAAATTACTCAAGGAATACCTACCAACACATAGCAGAAGTAGCTGATACAGAAAGCACACTGTTAAAGCATTGCATTCCAAAATACCCTCAGAAAACACTGTTTTGGTGTAAGTGCTGCCCCCAAATGCCATTAAAACAGTGTAAATCTTAGTATATAAATACATTTCCAGCTCGTACTTTAATACAAGTGGGTTGTTGATGTCCCACTCACATTACTGAAGTTATTTTAAGAAATCACAGCTGAAAATAAGGCTGGATCTTTATGAAAAAGTTCAACTTGTGCAGCTTTTTATTACATGAATTCATTAGTAGGAGTTGGAGAGCAGTGTCTTGATCTCCAGGTGATTAACTTCAAGAACCCTCTGAACAGATACATAAGAGTGATTTTTCCAGACATCCTCACATCTATAACACAATTTCCTTTGTCTTTCCATTGTAACAGACTGTGAGTTTGATTTTTCTTCCAGCTCCTTTGTATAGAATCAGTTATTTCCCTACAGTTTAACCTTGTCCTTAACACAGTGAGCAGAACCCTTCTAACTGTCTTTGCCCTGCTGTCTAACCTTCACTGCTGTGTGTTTTCCTCCTTGTGCCATCTCTGCATCTAGAGTTTTAATGCAGTTCAACTGGTGGATATTGAGCCCTCACCTGTCAGTGCTATGAGAATGACAATAGCAGAGGTATATGTAGTATTTATGATTAACCTTTGTGTCCTTGTTGCATGAAGCTTGGGTTGCTGGATTAACACTCATATAGAGGTGGCAACAGAATGCATAAGATATGTATAATCCATAGAACCATTGAATCATGGAATGGTTTGTGTTGGAAGGGACCTTAAAGCTCATCCACTTCCAACCCCCTGCCACGGGCAGGGACACCTTCCATAGAGCAGCTTGCTCCAAGCTCCCCATCCAGCCTGGTCCTACCCCATCCAGTGTGGCCTTGATGTGGATGAGCACCTCCGTTATCCTTTTAGGACTCCATTTTAGACCTGGGGAAACAGGTTGACAGACCTCCATCATTCATAATATAATAATGCATAATATATAGATAGACACATCAAATGAAAATAAAAAGCTTTTTCCACAATGAGACTTTAAGTTAAAGGAGGAAAAAGCAATTTAATGGGGTTATTTGTGGGGATCAGCCGCACACTTCCCTTTTGCACTCACACAGCACTTTGTAATTGCTATTCTAATCTTTTGGGGGCATGAATTAAAATTTCACAGCTCCAGATAGTGGTGTGTGTAATTGGTTCCTTCTCTAATGTGAATAGGGAAGTTGTAGAACAACTGGCAGCTATTAGTACATGCTGATGAAATGCAGCCCTATTACTAATTTAATCCTGTTCTTCATCCAGAGAGCTCTCCCCATGTCAAACAGAGATGTAATTCATCTTGTTTAAACTCTTCAACATTGAAAATTACATGATTCTTTGACATGGTGCTTGTGTGGTCTGAGAGCAGACACGTGAGCTGCATGTACTGCTTGACTTCAGGAGACTGGAAAGCAGTGAATGGGTTGTTCATAGGATAATCATAGAATGGGTTGAGTTGGAAGGGAGCTTAAAGCTCATCCAGTTCTAACCCCTGCCATGGGCAGGGACCCCTTTCACTAGAGCAGCTTGCTCCAAGCCCCTGTGTCCAAGCTGGCCTTGAACACTGCCAGGGATGGGGTGTGCGACAGAAAGAGCTGGGCTTGTGCAGCCCAGACAAGAGGAGGCTCCAGGAAAACTTTATAACAGTCTTCCAATACCTAAAGGGGCTGCAGGAAAGCTGGAGAGGGGCTTTGGCCAAGGGTCTGTAGGGCCAGGCCAAGGGGAATGGCTTGAACCTGCCCGAGGGGAGCCTGAGCTGAGCTCTTAGGCAGAAGCTCTTCCCTGTGAGGGTGCTGAGGCGCTGGCACAGGGTGCCCAGAGAAGCTGTGGCTGCCCCATCCCACGCAATTTAAACCATTCTATGATTCTATGTCTCTAGGACTCTCAGTACCTCTTCACCTTCAGTGACTTCTTCACTTGGCTGACCCACTTGGGCTGCAGAATGACTGCATTTCTTTATGGCCCTGCATGTTTCTGAGCTTCCAGCTGCTTGTGCTGTAACCAGTTCTCACAGCAAGAAAGAAGCTCTGCAGGCTTCTTTATGATCCCTGGAATTATGCTCAGCTAACAGGGTTCTAGCTGAGCACCAGCAGGTTCGACTTCGACATTCACCACTATTAATCAATAAGTACAAGGGAATGAGGGATTTGCTCAGGCTATGAATTCTTAAGTCATTGTGTTCCATTGATCAAGCATTCTTTTGCCACCTATTCTGTTTGTAGATGATCTGCTGAGATTCAGTTGCTTTTAGTTTGTGTGGGTTATGCATGATAATTTTCCCACTGAGGACTAGCACTCAAAGGAATGTAAGTAGAGTGATGAATACATCTAATCACATCCTTTCCAAGAGCAAATCCTGGCCACTCTGCAGGCTGAATACCTGATCACTGTGACTGGGGTCAAAGTTTGGAGCATTTCATGGCACTTGACTGGGATTGTGAGTATTGTAGGCAAGAGGAATAAGCAATGTGGATGTGGAACTCAATTCAGTGCAAAGCTCTGAATGCTGTTGTACCTTCTAGTTTTACATTTTCCACCTCAAATCTGCATTTAGAGCTGTGGCTAAAAGCTAATGTTGACTGGATGGCCATGAAATCCTCGACTCAGGTACAGATTGCTCCAACAATTCCATGTCCCTCTTGTGCTGCTGCCCCAGAGCTGGATCAGGGCTGCAGGGGGGGGTCTCCCCTTCACACAGCAGAGGGGCAGGATCCCCTCCCTGAGCTGCTGCTCACGCTCTGGGGGTGCAGCCCAGCACACGGGGGGGTTCTGGGCTCAAGCGCACACTGAAGCAGGGCCATGGGGAGCTTCTCCTCACCCAGCACCCCAAGTCCTGCTCCTCAGGCTGCTCCATCCAGTCTCTCCCAGCCTGGGCCTGTGCTGGGATTGCCCCAGCCCATGGGCAGGACCTTGCCCTTGGCCTGGTTGAGCTCCATGAGGTTCACATGGTCCCACCTCTCCAGCTTGTGCAGGTCCCTCTACAAGGGAATGGTTTGCTTCAGAAGTGTTCAGCAAGAAATCATTCATTAACTCCCATTTAAATCTAATACTGTCAATAAATGAATTGACAAATCAGGCTGGGCCACTGCAGCAAGGTGGAGAACAGAGAGGAGTCTCTTGTACCCCCTTTAGCCTCACAAGACAAACCATTCAGCACACACTGGCACACTGGGGCTGCTGCTATACTCAGTGTAGTGACAACTTAACCACCCAGCATCCTCCCACAAGGCAAGTATTAAGTCCACAGGAATCTCTTGTGTTGAAGCGTGCTGTCCCCATGCCTCGCTGATAAGCCCTGGCCATAAGAACAGGGCAAAATCCAAAGGAAATGAGCCAGCTTTTCTCTGTTTCCTGTTTGGAAAAGAGGTTTTTTTTCCTTGAACTGCCTGTTATCGTGTGAGAAAAGCAGCCCCATGACAAAAAGCCTGTCCACGGTGAGGGGGATAATGGCAACAAGAAGCTGACACTAAACTTTTGAGGCCCTTTTCCTGTTGTTTTATCCACATTGCCTGTGACCGTAGCTTCCCCTGGACGTTAACTGATGCCTTCATCCTCTTTGAGCACGCAAGTACAAACCGGAGCCAGATCTGATGTGTGTGGCAGCTTCTCACATGAATAAATGGGGGTTTCTCACTGAAGCTGCAGAAAAACAACATCTCGGCACGTTCAGTGGAAAGTTTTTGGTGTTTCACCCCTTGGTCTTTGGGTATGGGAAGTTTAATGGATAAACTGGGACAATAAGGATGATTTTCATTATCATATGCAGAATATCTTGTATTTCTGAGCAGCTTGTATCAGGCTATGTGATAGAAGCTATGTAACCTATACTTACAGAAGGGCATCAGTCTTGCTTGTGCCCAGACTTGTCTCCTCAGCTCTGCAAGTGTTCAGGGCTTGGAAAGTGAATGGAAATCACTGCCCAAGTGGAAATCAGGCTGTGCTTTGTCAGACTTCGCTTTCAGCAGGTTTCTGTGCACAGACAGAGATGTTTACACGGGTCAGCATTTACTATTGAATGTATTTCCATGTTTAAAAGAGATTTAAGGCTTATTTAGTATTCGTATTCTATATATTTAGATCATATTATACATATATGCATTATGATTATTTTACTTTTCCTTATCTAATTATTGCATATAAATATGTTCAATAGAAATATTTAAATACAAAAGGCTTATGAAATGTAAACTGCTAGTAAGAATTAATCCCTCACCCAAGTAAGCCCAGCCTAACAAGTTCAGAGGATGCACTGATTTCTCTGTATTTAGAGAAGTCTGTGCTTTCAATACCAGACCAGAGGAAGGTGGCTGGTTTTAATTACAGCTTTGTTGAAGCTAAATATATATAGATATATAAAAAGGAAGATTTAATTTAATCAGTGTATAAAGCATTAGGAATTACTGAAGAGGAGAAATGCAGTCATTGAGGTAAGGAAATGCTCAGCAGAGCAATACGTTCCCTGTATGATTTGATACATCTTGTGTGTGGACAGCACAACTAAAACTGGTTTTACTTCATTCCCCCATGCCCCAATTGTTGTTACAAGGAGGACTGAGGTATAATACTCGTATTTGAGGTTGATATTGAAGGTTTAATTGGAAGAAAAGGGGGAAGTCCGTGCCATAGAGTTAATGTCTGTCTTACTGTGGTTCGAACGTTAGCCCCATTTCTGATTGGTTTCAAGTATAATGAGCTGAAATTGGCTCATACCAAATGGATTTTATTGGAATTTAGAGACCACTGTGTTAGTATTCACTTTTTTTAGAGTCAGGAAACACTGTTGAAGCAAAGCTCTGCATCATTTCTAACACAGCAGAGAGCAGAAGTGATATGTGAAAGAAGTGGCCACTTAAGTAATAGATCTTTGTGTATATCACATTGAAAAGATCTATGATATCCATTTCTCCGTGTCAAAGTTGATTCTAAAGGTATTCCTTTGTCCCTTTGGATCCCTAATGGCAGCAGTTTTTCTGTGTTTCTAGTTATAATAGAACCCATTAAAGAGCATTTGGATAAGGTGGATGTGGCTGGAGCTGCTGTGATAGCTGAGGGGAAGGAGTTTAATTATGAGGGTGAGAATGGAAGTGCACTATTGAAAATACACATACAAAATTAATTGCAGTGAGTATCATAGAATCCCAGCCTGGTTTAGGTTGAAAGGACTTTAAAGCTCCTCCAGCTCCAACCCCTGCCACGGGCAGGGACCCCTTCCACTAGAGCAGCTTGCTCCAAGCCCCTGTGTCCAACCTGGCCTTGAACACTGCCAGGGATGGGGCAGCCACAGCTTCTCTGGGCACCCTGTGCCAGTGCCTCAGCACCCTCCCAGGGAGGAGCTTCTGCCTTATATCTAACCTGAACTTCCCCTGTTTCAGTTTGAACCCATCACCCCTTGTCCTATCACTGCAGTCCCTGATGAAGAGTCCCTCTCCAGCATCCTTGCAGCCCCCTTCACACACTGGAAGCTGCTCTGAGGTCTCCACACAGCTTCTCTTCTCCAGGCTCAACAGCCCCAGTGTTCTCAGCCTGGCTCCATACAGGAACTGCTCCAACCCCTGAGCATCCTCGTGGCCTCCTCTGGACTTGCTCCAACAGCTCCATGTCCTTCTTATATTGAGGACTCCAGTACTGCACACAGTGCTGCAAGTGGGGGCTCCCATTTGGGAGCACCAAACTTGACTCTTACTACTGCTTTTTAGCTATGAGTAGTGTGAAATACATCATGCATAGTCCTTCCTCCCCTCGAGCAGTGTTGACCATGAGGTTGAACTTGCTTTGCACCACTGACATGCTAACCCCTTACTTTCAGCTCTGTAAAAGAAATGACTGTGAGTTTTAGGTGTGTTTTGTGCCAGTGATTTGCATGCAGTAAATGTTCACTCCTTTTTTCCCCTGGGTTGAACTATTTTAGTCTACAGCTACAAAATTAAGGAGCTTTTAGGCTCAAGATCCAACTTCTTTTTTGCTCTTAAAGCTGTACATGTGCCAACAACATCCAGATATAACAGCTTAAATAAGAGCAATGGTGTGTTTGACCCTGTCTTAAGGCATCTTCTGCACCTGCAACATTTCAGACCACAATGGAGAAGCAACGTGTGTCTACAACCTAAATGCATCTGTTAATTTAAGAAACAGCATCACTGCTCTCTAAGATGGAGTCATCTTGAACTTTCTCTTGGTTTCCTGATTGAATTTATAGCACTAAACGCTGCTTTCACTGTAATCCAAACCCTGAGAGAACAGCACAAGGTCCATCTATGTTTAGCTCGGGGTTATTTTGCCTCTTCCTTCATTCCTTGGCCATAGTAAGTGGCTTTGCTTTCCCACTTTTTGGGGGAAGAGGTTAGATTGAGTCACTGGACAGCTGGATATCTTGCCACCACCAAGTTCCAGCCCTGAAAACACTTAAGCAAGTGCTTAGAATCATAGAATCACAGAATGGTTTGGGTTGGAAAGGACCTTAAGATCATCCAGTTCCAACCCCCTGCCATGGGCAGGGACACCTCACACTAAACCATGGCACCCAAGGCCTCGTCCAACCTGGCCTTGAACACGGCCAGGGATGGAGCATTCACAACCTCCCTGGGAAACCCATTCCAGTGCCTCAGCACCCTCACAGGAAAGAACTTCCTTATATCCAATCTAAACTTCCCCTGTTTGAACCCGTTACCCCTTGTCCTGTCACTACAGTCTCTAATGAAGAGTCTCTGCTTCTAGCTCCTTTCTTCATCCCTATTTAAGTGGCAGTTGGTTTCTCATTTCTCACTTCATGCACCTCTCTATCCTGTCTTTACCTGAGGTCGCAGACTTCTTGGGTCCTCCTTGAAGTCCTCCTGAAGCACATGCTCTTCTGTGCCACTCATCTGGCTGCTTATAAGCTCCTCCGCTTACAAGTTCCTTCAGAGCCACCTTAAGTGCCTGCAACTGGTTCTTCACAGGGCACTGAAGGCTCTCCCCACCATACCAGCTCCAGTTATTCAGGAAGCACTCCAGGTCCTGCTGGGATGAAAACCTTTCTCCTTGCACTGTCTTCTCAGGCAGGTATTTCAGACCATGTGTATCCACCACGCGCTCTGCTCTTGTCCAGCTCAGGAGCCCTTGTTTTCATCTTCTTCCCCAGAAGACTCTATTTGCCTCTAGACCTTGTCTCCTCCTTGTACTTTTGGTTTCCACACAGACCACAGCTCTAGGTTTCTCTCCAGTTTTATGTTATTTTTAGACCTTGAAGCAAGGGTGAGGTCTCTTTGGTTGCAGTTCTGCTTTATGAATAACTAATAGAACCAGTCTGATCCAGTAACAATCCTCTTCTGGTTTAGTACGCCCTTAGGAGCAGCCACAAAGCTTGCATTCATTCTTTCTGGTCAAGTGCTTTTGATAAATAGATTAAAACCCCAAAACACATGTGGGGTAATGCAGAAGGTTATCAAGTGACTGAAGTCTGTATTGTTGCTTAATGAAAATGAGATGCTGGGAAGGACCAAGACTAGTGGGAACACTGAAAATTCATCATGAGATGTCTTACAGAGGAGAGGCAATGTCAACCCATTCTGCTCAGATGTGCAGCTGCTAAGACTCAGCTGGAAGCTCTGGAAGGAGCTGAATGTGCTCACTCCAATAAGCTGAGGGAAAACTGAGGTCTAATGTTATCTTACGGATTGGATCTGTCTAAATGGATCCATGTGTTTGGCCTCTACGTTTTGCAGTGACCTGGTGGAGTAGCTTCATGTAGGTAATTAAAGAGGTCAAATAGCAGTGAATCATAGAATGGTTTGGACTGGGAAGGGACCTTAAAGCTCCTCCAGCTCCAACCCCTGCCACAGGCAGGGACCCCTTCCACTGGAGCAGCTTGCTCCAAGCCCCTGTGTCCAACCTGGCCTTGAACACTGCCAGGGATGGGGCAGCCACAGCTTCTCTGGGCACCCTGTGCCAGCGCCTCAGCACCCTCACAGGGAAGAGCTTCTGCCTAAGAGCTCAGCTCAGTCTCCCCTCGGGCAGGTTCAAGCCATTCCCCTTGGCCTGGCCCTACATCCCTTGTCCCAAGCTCCTCTCCAGCTTTCCTGCAGCCCCTTCAGGCACTGGAGCTGCTCTCAGGTCTCCCCTTCAGGAGCCTTCTCTTCTCCAGGCTGACCCAGCCCAGCTCTCTCAGCCTGGCTCCAGAGCGGAGCTGCTCCAGCCCTCACAGCATCCCCATGACCTCCTCTGGACTTGCTTCAACAGCTCCACATCCTTTTTATGCTGAGGGCCTCAGAGATCCTAAAGCCACCTTTCTTTTGCTTGCTTCTGCCATTGGAAATCATCTCTTTTACAGCCCCTCAACTCTGCTACCCTGAGCTCTCTGACAAGAAGAGGATGAGGAAGAATAAAAGCTGTATTCAATTTTGATGAAAAGGAGCTTAGCTGAACAAAATAAGCTGAACTAATTTTTGCCTCATTTTCAATTAAATCCTCTGATAGGATGTTCACAAAAGTTGGTATTACTGCCTCTCCCATGAGGACAGTATAATCTGAAGGCATAAAAATCTCCCATTTGGTATCACTTCGGTTTGCAGCCTTTACAACAGTCTATTCCAAATAAAACTGTCTGCCTTCCTTGACACCAAATCAAAGCACTTCACCTTCTCAAATACCTGATACCACCATCCATCCCTTCTGCATGGCTGGAGGCTTTGCACCTAGCCTGAAAAGTATTCCTTGTCTTTCGTTCTCTTACCCTTCTCCTGCTGGCTCACCTTGCATTTCTCCTTCCTAAACAGCTTTTTGGATCATAGAATCCCAGACTGGTTTGGGATGAAAGGGGTCTTAAAGCTCATCCATTTCCAACCCCTGCCACGGGAAGGGACACCTTCCACTAGAGCAGCTTGCTCCAAGCCTGTCTTCCCTCAGGTAACAAGGGATGGGACAAGAGGAAACGGCCTCAAGCTGCACCAGGGCAGGTTTAGATGGAGCTGAGGAACAATTCCTGCCCCAGAGGGTGCTCAGGCATTGGAACAGGCTGCCCAGGGCAGGGCTGCAGGCACCGGCCCTGCAAGGGTTCACACATGGTGGAGATGAGGCCTCAGTGCCATGGGGCAGTGGTGGCCTTGGCAGTGCTGGGAATGGATGGACTTAATGACTTTAAAAGTCTTTTCCAACCTAAATGCTTCTCTGATCAATGCACTGGGCAGTGCACTAATGGAAACTGCAGAGAGATTTGGAATGATTTCAGTAAATAAATGCTGGGAAGTCTGTCTTCAGAGTTTCAAATGGGTTCTGTTCAACCGGGAGACAGTGGAGGACTACTTTATCTTGCTTTAGCTGGCGTTTATTGAAGGGGAGAATAATGGAACACACAGTAAAAGCAAGCATAAGATGAAACAGTATCAAGAATGTGATTTGAAATTGAAGTTGATGTTTTGTAGACAAAATTTTGGAGCAGAAATTGCTGTTCTAAATATTTGGTGGCGTTGAGATTGAATCCCAAATTACAACGAACAAGCCTAAATGGCCCATTGGGTCCCATGTAACCTTCCATCTCTGCTTCCTATCATGCATGTATTCACTGTATGGGTGAAACTGGTTTGGCTTTGTTCGTCATAAGTGGCTTCCATTGCAGTACAATTGTCTTTGGTGTTCAGTGTCACTCGGCTTGTCCTGAGGCTATGTGAGTTGTGGACTCCAGTGAGCTTTGATTTGGTTTCACTGTTGGCTTTTCACAACATGGCACCACACAAAGTTCATAAGGAGCAGAGTTGTGTTCGTGGAGTCTTGTTGAGTATGAAACAAGATCCCAGGCTGATAAATGCAATATAAAGTTATCCCATAACTATCATCTTCTCTACAGAGGTAGCCCTGAGTCTGTGTCATGACGTGTTCTCTTGTTCTCTGTTCCAGAGCCGACAACTGGAATCGGAAACTGGAACAACTGAAGAGCACAGCCTCAACAAGGAGGCTCGGAAATGGGCAACCCGAGTGGCCCGGGAGCATAAAAACATCATCCACAGTCAGCGGGTAGGTTGGGAGAACATTCCTTTACCAGTGGGGTTTCTTGCAGTTCCCCAATGCGTGGAAGAGGAGATGCTGCAAGCCCTAAGGAGTTCTTTTTGTCTGTTATCTCTGCCATTTTCATCGTAGCCTTTCTTGATACGATCCACTCACACTGCCAGGTCAGCAGCTCCTCGCTCATTTTGGTTCATAGAATCCCAGATTGGTTTGGTTGGAAAGGATCTTAAAGCTCCTCCAGCTCCAATCCCTGCCACGGGCAGGGACCCCTTCCACTGGAGCAGCTTGCTCCAAGCCCCTGTGTCCAACCTGACCTTGAACACTGCCAGGGATGGGGCAGCCACAGCTTCTCTGGGCACCCTGTGCCAGCGCCTCAGCACCCTCACAAGGAAGAGCTTCTGCCTTATCTCCAACCTGAACTTCCCCTGTTTATGTTTAAACTCCTTGACCCTTGTCTTATTGCTACAGTCCCGTTCTGAAACATAAATGCCACTTCCTTGAACACTGAATCCCAGGTTGAAGGGATCTCAGGGACCATCTGGTCCAACCTTTCCAGGCAAAGCATGAGCTAGACTAAATGTCCCAGCACCCTGTGCAATCCAAACTTAACAGTGTCCAGCACTGGGGAATCACCACTTCCCTGGGGACATTATTCCAGTGGCTGCTTGTTCTCATTGGGAAAAATTTGAGCTATTCCTCAAACCACCCAGGAGAATATACTGTGGAAGAAGCAGGACCAGGGAAGGTGTTTACCATCTTACCTGTCTTCTGCTGAACCTGTAGAATCATAGAATCCTGGAATGGTTTGGGTTGGAAAGGACCTTAAGATCATCCAGTTCCAACCCCTCTGCCATGGGAAGGGACACCTCACACTAAACCGTGGCACCCGAGGCTCTGTCCAACCTGGCCTTGAACACTGCCAGGGATGGAGCATTCACGACCTCCCTGGGCAACCCATTCCAGTGCCTCAGCACCCTCACAGTAAAAAATTTCCTCCTTATCTCCAACCTGAACTTCCCCTATTTCAGTTTTAACCCATTACCCCTTGTCCTATCACTGCAGTCCCTGATGAAGAGTCCCTCCCCAGCATCCTTATAGGCCCTCACTTATGTCACTCCATAGCAGAAAACAGCAGTTGTAGCTGCAGGCAGAGGGTGTTAACCAAAATACGATGGGCCAAACTCTCCTCAGAGGAAGGAGAGGGCATCCTCGATTCTGGCCCTAGCACCTCATTCTCCTTCTGCTCTTTCCCCAAAGACTCTTTAACACAAAGTGTATAAACAGTCACGGAAGCAGATTTGCATGTACTTGGTGACAGTTTGTGCAGTCACATGTGCTGTTCTACAGTCAGCATCCATGTACATGAACCTAAGAAACCTCCAACATGTCTTCTGTGCTCCAGCAAATCCTCCTCAGGACACAACATTCCTGCACATGCAGCAAACCCACTTGGCTTCCTCTACAACAGGGCTTCCATTAGCAACGACCCTCTCCATGTTTAAGCTGCTCTTCTTCATCCAGACATGAATCTAGAGCAATTTAAATGTGGAATTATCAACATGTAGATGAGTGGATTCATAACCACGATGCTGTGTTTTTGTGAAGATGCTGAGGTGTTCCTCTAAGTGGAATTTCCATGTGAAATACTGTATTTAAGTGATATTTTGCCTTGTTCATCATCTTGTTTTCCTGGAAGGGACCATCAATGGTCAACTCAGCAGCTAGTCAAACAATGATTTCCTTGACATCTCATTAATATTTATCACGTAAATGGTGTGCTGGCCTTGACTGCATGTGGGATGTGTTTTCTTGCTCCTGACAGACACTTGAAGAGCTGGAATGCCATGGGCCTGTGATGTCCGAGCAAACCCGAGCAGAACTGGAGCAGAAAATAGATGAAGCCAGAGAGAGTATTCGCAAAGCTGAGGTAAGAAGGAAAAGGTTTTGCCATGTTCAGCTTCCTACAACAGAAGGATTTATGTTACAGCTCTTTAGTTTTGTTTAGAGTCATAGGATCCCAAACTGGTTTGGGTTAAAGGGATCTTAAAGCTCTTCCAGCTCCAACCCCTGCCACAGGCAGGGACCCCTTCCACTAGAGCAGCTTGCTCCAGGCCCTTGTCCAACCTGGACTTGAACACTGCCAGGGATGGGGCAGCCACAGCTTCCTTGAGCACAGGAAACTTCCTTGTGTTCAGGGAAATGTAAGCTTTTAGCATCAAAAATCAGGGAATTTTAAGATGGTTTTTTTTTCCCTCCTTGATTTTTGTACTTCTCAAATCACAGAATCAACTTCATGAAACACTCGGGATTAGAAGAGGGATGTTAAAAAGCCCTCCTAATGAGCTGTGATTAAACTCGCTCCCCTTTCTGCTCTTGTGTAAAGGTCAAGAATCTCTGAATTTAGGGGCTTTGTCTTAAATAGACATAAAGCAATCTCAAGTTTACTGGTTTCCTTCTGCTTGAAGGAATCGATATCAGAAAACAGTGATGATATCTCTTACCTTGATGCTTTCTGGCTTCTAGAAGCAACTGCCACGTGGTGCTGTGCTTCTGTACTAGCATTTTTTGATACACATAGTAATTTGTAATGTCAATGGGAAAACATGTGAAATAACCTTTAAATCTCTTTCTACTCCTACTGTGAGGTACCTTTCAGAAGACTAGAGTGATTTATGAGGCCTGTTTTGGGGTAAAGATTCAGGAAGAGATAAACCAGCTTCATACTTGACTGCTGGTGTCGGGTTGGTAAAACTGAACTGGTTTCATGGCCAGTGAGTCAAGAAACGTATTGCAAGCAACAGGAACTGAGCTGTAAGTTTTCAGCTGAGTTGCTTAATTAAAACTGTAGAGTAACTAATTGTTTCAGTCAAGTGCTTCTCATAGCACCAGCTATGCAGAGTACCTGATGTAATTAGGATGTGATTTACAGTTCAAGAGGTTAGAAAATAGAGAGTGAAATTACTTCTGCTGCTGTGATAAATGTTAGGTGTTCCTTTAAAACAAATCCAGACTATATTCTCTTATAAAAGTGCTTTAAATGTAATAGCCTTTTTGACTACACTGTTTCAAATAGACTGTACTCCAGTGTATACAGAGTTAATGATTAAATATGTAAGGACAGAGGGAATGAGAATGAAAGATAAAAGCAGCAGCAGAAAGAAATCAAATCAGGATAAGAAGTTGCAGAGGAGAAGATTTGCACAAAGAATATTATAAGAGTAACAAATGAAATCAGTCTGGACCTTAAGTGATTGCAAGTCTTAGGAATGTATGATTAATGAGACCCAATAAATCAGTGGAAAAGTGAGCAGAGAGATGACACGTTTCCTGGGGGAGGTGGTGGAGAGGAAAACAGACAGGGGTGATTTTTATTTGTTACATTCTGGAAAGAGCCATAGAAACAACTGGATTGGAAAAAACCTTTAAGATAATCGAGTCCGTCATCGAAGGTAAAGCTTTGATAGGAGGTGCTGCAATAGTAATGACCAAGGAGGATGTCCACAGTACAAAATAGGCTTTGGCCCTGTATGGATCACAGAATCCCAGCCTGGTTTGTGTTGGAAGGGAGCTTAAAGGTCATCCAGCTCCAACCCTGCCACGGGCAGGGGCCCCTTCCACTAGAGCAGCTTGCTCCAAGCCCCTTCCAAGCCATTACCCCTTGTCCCAAGCCCCTCTCCAGCTTCCCTGCAGCCCCTTCAGGCACTGGAGCTGCTCTCAGGTCTCCCCTTCAGGAGCCTTCTCTTCTCCAGGCTCACCCAGCCCAGCTCTCAGCCTGGCTCCAGAGCAGAGCTGCTCCAGCCCTCGCAGCATCTCCATGGCCTCTTCTGTAGGTGTTTGAACCACTTGGTGACTTTTATATATTGCCATAAGTTATAATATAGAATTCATTGTTTGTAAGAGTAACCAGTAAGTGAATTCTATAAGCTTTTTCCTTGGGGTTAGTAATTTCTTTCGGCTTCACCCCTTCTTTGTCCCTACTCCCCTAAGTGGCCCCATTCAGTAATTTCAGGGCCATTAATTAGACAGGAGGTTTCTGCACACATCTAATCTCTAGAAGAACAAACGGTGTAAGCTTTGAGCACAAACATTTTCCTTGGTAATGCAATTATAATTCTTTCCAGTGTGTGAACACCAAACATTTGCAGCATTCCTGCATATTTAAGTGCGAGTGATTAAGTTGGAATTACTGATGGTTGGGTTGGGGGAATGGAATTTGTGCTAGAAGTTACAGTCACTTATTTAGGCTATAGGGGAGCCATGGAATTGCCCTTTCCTTGACCCACTGCACTGCATTTGGGTCATGGAGCTGCAGCTGGTAAATGAAACAAAGCAAAGAGCCCCCTGATTTAGGTCAGAGCTTCAAAGAGGTCCTTCTCGTAGTAGCAAGTGGGGGAAGAGGGTGTCTGGAATGCTGGCAGGAGCCAGTGATCAGTTGTTGGAAGGACCTGGCTTAGGAATCCTAGAATCACAGACAGGTTTGGGTTGGATGGGACCTTAAAGCTCATCCAGGTGGAAAGCGGAAAAGGAACCATTTCATAGACTTCATTTTGTCTTTTCTGAAGCTGTTTGATGTATGTCATTTATAAAGTGAGACAGGAAGAAACAAGTCCCAGAACGTGCAAAGACCCATTTACTGGGTTTACATTTACTGCTGTTACTGAGGATATGGTATTTTATGGTTGCCTGACACCATCCGTGGTTGCACCCTCTGTGAACAGTACAAAGTAATCTGCCCTTTAACGTTAGTTAGTTCGTTATCACCTTGTCACATTAAATCTTAGCATCTGCAAAACCCTGTGTGTGCTGCTGTGGTTGAAACTGGAGAGTAGCTTTGTTCTTGTGCCATGTCTAGAGGTGTTTAATGATAACACAAATGTTGTTACAAGAAAACAAACTATTTTATTGGGAAGGTATCAGCACAGCTTCGCTTGCAACTGCAACAAGTATTAGTTGATGTCATGGAATCATGGAATCACAGAGTGGTTTGGGTGGGAAGCAACCTTAAAGCTCATCCAGGTCCAACCCCCTACCATGAGGACACCACCTGCTCTAGTGCAAGTTATCCCAGCCCAAAACTCACTTGGCTTTAAAGAAAGTGTTAGACTACAACTGATAATACCTCTGACACTGGCAGAGCGCCACACCTGACTGTGCTTAATGCTCCACCACGGAGTTTAGATGCAGAGGAGCTCCATCCTTGGCAGAACAGTGTTTCACCACCACTGTGTCAGGGCTGGATCTTGATGAAGACAAGCACTGAGAGCAGTGGATGCTTGTTTCAATGAAGGGGGGCACAATTCAAGCACCAGGAGATCACCTTTGGAAGTCAGTGAGTTGAGAACATCAGCTGTTGGTGTAGCTCCTTTGCGCTTACTCAGCCGGTTCACGTAACTGAACTACAACTCCTGCATTTTAAGCTTTCATTTTTGAAACAAGTAGAATCATAGAATCATAGAACAGGGTTGGAAAGGACCTTAAGATCATCCAGTTCCAACTGCCATGGGCAGGGACACCTCACGCTAAACCATGGCACCCAAGGCTCTGTCCAACCTGGCCAGGGATGGAGCATTCCCAGCTTCCCTGGGCAACCCATTCCAGTGCCTCAGCACCCTCACAGTAAAGAACTTCTTCCTTAGATCCAGTCTAAACTTCCCCTGTTTCAGTTTGAACCCATCACCCCTTGTCCTATCCCTACGGTCCCTAATGAAGAATAAGGAAGGTTCAATCAATTGGATAGATCTAATTTGCCTTGAAGTAGCTTTTTGTTTCTCCACTGCCTCTATCCCTTTATCTTTAAACCAGTGGAGACAAAAAGCTACTGTCTCCACTGGTCTGTGTTGCAGAAATAAGGGAAAACCAAAGTTGAAGTTACGTTCTTGTTTCTGTATCCTTCCTTCAGCCTGCATCCTGGATGCTTAGGCTGAGTTACTCGAATTCTTCCTCTCATCTTACTCTGTCTCTATCAAAGTAAAGACTCTGATGCTTTGATAGCCCAGTGGGAGTCTCCCAGGCAGTAAAGTTGGTCCCAAAGCTGACATAATTCTTCTCAACGATGATGGGAGATTTCCCATTTGTGCTCAGGTCTGTGCTCAAGGAAGGTCTTGGGGCCTCTACAGCAATTAATCCTATTTCCACTTAATTATAGGGGGATGCATTTTGTCTCCTCATTAGGATATCTACAACTCTCAAGAGAGTCTTTGTACCAGATAAGATTTGATTAAGACTCATTATGATGCTGTTTACTTGGTTTGATGAGTTCAGAAGCTTAGGTCCATTTTTAATTGTAAGAGGAGGGCTCTTTTCTCCCTCCCTTTGTATTTGGCTATGAATATTTATCACTCTGCTGTGATAACAGTTGTGTTTGCTGGCTGGGCTCCTGTTCTATCTTAGGATGTAATCTATTAATCATGTGTTGCATGTGGTCCTACCTCATCTCAAGTGGACGTAGCTACGTTTCAGCCTGTTACATGTTCTTCCAGTTGAACCCTTCAGGAGTGCTGTCCTCTGTTCCTAAGCAATGTGAGAAAAGCTAATTCCATATGCTCCATGGTGTGGAATAAGGCTGCCAACCCCCAGAAAGCTGAATATGTGAAATGTCACTTGCTGCTATCTATGGCTTTGCTCTGGAAACATATGCTTGGGAGAGCTGTGCTGGGTAAACAGATTGCCTTCTCCATATGAGAGCTGTTGGAGCCGTTCATCTTTCCGGCTAAGAAGGTTGGGAATAGGTTGGAAAAACGCCACCAAAATCCACAGGTCAGGAATTTTCAACTCTTAAGGTAAAAAGCAGTTTAGTGAGAAGAGAATGTCGTTGTTGAGAGGGACATCATCAGAGTCTGTGGTATTACGAGGATGTGTAAGTCTTTGTACTTCATCAGCGACATCCAATCACTGAACATGGAGAGAAGGCTTCAGCAAGACCATGGA